CGTTATCAATGTACTGATAAACAAGTAAAATAAATTCACAGCAAGCCTTAATGCGAAGCTCATGTTAAGCGATAAATATAAATAAATTGTTAATTGAACCCGATAAACTTCGATCTATCTTAATACATAAAGCCGAAAAACATGAGTCAACATAACTGCAAGTTACTACATGATTCAGTCACACAAATTTGAAAATATTATCATGAGGAAAGAGAATCCATGAAAGCAAAGTTAAGACAAAACGTAGTTGCTGCGAACTCATTCTTGTTTCCTTCACTTTGATAAAAAATGTCGAAAAAAGATCTAGCTCGTGGCTGTTCTCGAAAGCCCGAAATAAAGGCTACAAACACGAAGGAATAATAGTTACTTTTGCAGATCTCGACTTGTTCGGAGAGGCCATTCACCTGGTCTTGGCAGGAATATATGCATGATTTGGAAGGATTCAGTGATGAGCCGCGCCTTTATTACCTTATCCGGATTTTTGTTTCCTAAAAGAGTTATTAAATGCCTTTTTTTTACATTTCATGCCTGATTTTAATTTTGCTTTTTTCCATGTACATACCATGTATTGCCATAGATTATCTGTCATTACAGATTCAGAATCAAGGCATCACATTGATTGATTGAAGTACCTCGCTCATAAAAACAAAGACGAGGTTTAACTGCTTAAACTGTTTAACTGTAGATGGCCCAATATTCAGAGAGGATTATGTGCTTTACTAAACCATTTTATTAAGGTCTTATTAAAAATGATGGGAGATGTGTAAATAAAGCGATTGTTGTATGGACAGGTACAGATAAACCGAAGACTATATCGAGAAGAATACATTGGTGTCGAGAACTTCCGTTTCAAGGATGATGAATCCCCGAGTTTTGCCCTGAACTAGTATAGGCTTGTTTATTCAAAGTAATCTTTTCAATCACTTATCAAATGCAGCGCTCCCCTTTCAGTTTTATGAAATTCGGACTTCAAAGAAGACGTCTGTTTTGTTAATCACTTGAAAGTCGCATTCAACTTTCTTTATTAGAAAAATATCTTATAGTAATTCAGATGCGCAAAAAGGCAATAAAAAATGATGAAGATTTAATTCTAGCCCAATCAGCTCTGAAAGTGTAAGCCGTCAAAAACACTAC